GGACCGACCCTTGTGGCACCCCACAAGTTAGGGGCCTTGGGGCCGACCTCTGCCCCCCTGCCAATACAGACTGCGTGCGGTCGGTGAGGAAGGAGGAGAACCACCGCATAACCGTGCCTCCCACTCCCAACTCAGCCAGACGCCGCAGCATGATACCGTGGTCCACCGTATCAAAAGCCGCTGAGAGGTCCAAAAGAACAAGGACAGAGGAACAACCCCTGTCCCGGGCCCTCCAGAGATCATTCACCAATGTGACCAATGCCATTTCCGTGCTATATCCCGGCCTGAAGCCCGACTGGAGCGGGTCTAGATAGACTGTTTCCTCCAGGTGTCGGGGAAGCTGCCACGCAACCACACTCTCCACAACCTTCGCCACAAAGCGAAGGTTGGAGACCGGACGATAATTAGCTAATACATCTGGGTCCAGGGAAGGCTTCTTAAGGAGGGGCCTCTTAATCAGATTCTTCTTAAGGCTTCTTAAGGAGGGGCCTTCTTAATCAGATAGCCTAACCCAGGCCTCTGTGAATTTCACCCATGAAAGTAATAATAATGAAAAAAATCTTCCCACAACTATGTCAAGCTGGAAGGTTGATTTTGACAGAAATGCCAGTTTTTTCTGCCCGTGAAATCTGATTCACTTACCAGCTTATTATCAACAAAAATCCTGAAAGACAAATCCAAATAAACACCATAGTAATGTTTAAAAGATACTTAATAGTTCACTCTGAACAGGGTGGGGTAATGGTTCTGGACCTGAGGAGACCCAAGTCCTCCCTGAGGCATGGAAACCTGAACTACTTTCCTTAAGAGCTGAGCCTGAGGGAGGGGTCAAATGCGTCATCAGTCTCAAGTCCCTTCCTGCCCACAAGAGATCTGAGTCCAGCCCACCTTGAATTCCATTGATCCTTATCTGCCGCCAATCTGCTTTTACTGTTAGTAGTTCAGATTTTTGTAGAGAGCATTAGCACACAATAAACCTATAATCATTTGAACTGCCTGGACTCCTGATTTCTTGTGCCTGACAAGGCAAGGTTTAGTCTTCCCTTATGCACAGAAGCTGGCTGGGTGACCTTGGTCCAATCCTTTCCTTTTGGCCCAAGTCAGTGTCAGGCTCTGCAACCAGCCGGTTGGTAAATAAGAGCCCTTATGTTATCTTGTAATGATAGCTTTGTTGAAAAAAAACTAGGTGAGCACTTTGGAGAAACCAGCAGATCCTACAACCATAGGGAAGAAATGCTAAAGAAAACAATGACTCTGAACAGAGGACACTTGAGTTTAGCATATATCCTTTCAATGACTTCACCAGGACATAGCAGGAATAGCTCTTGGGGAAGATATTTAAGTCAAGCATGGACGTATAGTCAAATATACAGTAAAGAACATATATTGTTTATTCTTCAACCAAAAACTGAGAGGGGGGGGGAACCAGTGGAAACCATACCTGTCCCAAACTACCCCATATCTTGGCTTGAATGGAAGGATACATCTGTTTCTCATTTATTGTCATTGTGATAAGCTTATCAAGAATCGCTGTGACTCGCTGGCGCCGAGCATCATCATTATGTTTGCAAAAGCGGACCAGATTCAATAACCAGGGAGTCATATATTCCAGGCAGAGATGTTTTAGTTCAATACCTGAAATTCAAATAAACAGAGACATATTAGAAAAAAGTCTTGAACAAAAGTTTGCCCAATTATCTTTTGGAACAAAACTTGGTAGTTATGAAAAAACAAAGTGCACTAGAAAGACAACAGGGTCCTGGATTGGTGATGTTCAGACCCCCATTCTTGAAAGGCAAGTTGTCTTTGGCACCAAAAGTAGTGTGAGATACGGTGCTAAATGACAACAGAAACTAACATCTCTAGCTCTTCTGCAATGAACCCAAAGGGGTCTTGGGCTGCAGATCAAAGACAGGGCACCTTCAAACACAATAATGCATATACCAGGCTTCATGAATAATAATAACAATAACAACAACAACAACAACAACAACAANCTTGGAGGTCATCAAGTCCAACCCCCTGCTCAGGCAGGAACCCTACACCATTTCAGTCAAATGGCTGTCCAGTCTCTTCTTAAAAACTTCCAGTGTTGGAGCATTCACCACTTCTGGGCGCAGGTTGTCAGCAGGGCTGACAGCACACTCTTGACTTTGTAATCTGCATTGAATTCCTTCAGCAAGTTCAAGGAGAGAGACATTTACATGGTTGTTTCCCAACAGAGAGTTGTTTTGAGAGGGAAAATGTTCCCATGGCGAAGTGGTTCTTCCTCTTACCTTGGACCATACCAAATAATTTCCCCAACAATACCAGGAAACAGAATGCACAAAGAATAGAATAGAGCTGGAAGGGGCCTTGGAGGTCTTCTAGTTCAGCCCCCCCGCTTAAGCAGGAGAACCTATACCATCTCAGACAAGTGATTGTCTAGCCCAGGGGTAGGCAACCTTGGCTCTTTTATGACTCGTGGACTTCAACTCCCAGAATTCCTGAGCCAGCATGGCTCAGCATGGAAACCTTTCCCTTTCTCCTCAGCATGGCTGGCTCAGGAATTCTGGGAGTTGAAGTCCACAAATCATAAAAGAGCCAAGGTTGCCTACCCCTGGTCTAGCCTCTTCTTAAAAATCTCCAGTGATGGAGCACCCACGATTTCTGGAGGCAAGCTGTTCCACTGGTTAATTGTTCTCACTGTCTTTAACTCTGGTGCTTTGGAAAATAATGTGACCCCCTTGTCTTTGTGGCAGCCTCTCAAATACTGGAGTACTGCTATCACGTCACCTCTGTTTCTTTTTTTCTTTAAATTAGCCAAACCCAAGTCCTGTAGCCGTTCTTCGCAGGCCTTTGATCATCTTAGTTGCTCTTCTCTGAATTTTTTCCAAACTCTCAACATCTTTTTCGTGATATGGTGACCAAAATTGGCTGCAATATTCCAGGTGTGATCTTACTAAGGTTTTATAAAGCGATACTAATACTTTGCGTGATCTTGATTCTATGCCTCTGTTTATACAACCCAGGATTGTATTACTGCTGACTCATGGTCAAGTGATTGTCCACTAGGACTCCAAGTTCCCTCTCACAGTTACTGTTTTTAAGCCAGGTCTCGCCCAATCTGTACTTGTACCTTTGATTTTTTTTTCCTGCCTAAATGTAAAACTTCGCTTTTCTCCACACTGAAACTCATTTTGTTGGACAGAGCCCATTGTTCAAATTTGTCAATATCTTTTTGGATCCTGAGTTTGTCTTCTGGGGTGTTGGCTACTCCTGTCAGTTTGATATCATCTACAAATTTGATGAGTTTCCCTTCACTTCCCTCGTCATGGGAATTGACAGGTCAGACACGTTTCTCCTACCCGTTCCATGAACCGCTAATGCTCAGCCTTCTCAGTGGGACTGAATTGTAAGCACTGGGAAACAGAGTTCTTTTCCTTTTCCACCCACGCTTCCCACTGGAAGAGCAGAAGTGGATGTCAGGTGGGTGGGTTGGAATTTATTTTGAGCTCACAGACTCATGCTTTCTGGGGGGGGGGAGGGAAAGAGAGAGGCTTCTACTACAACCTGGGCCAGAAGAAGGAAACGAGCAGGTGATTAATTTTTCATCCTCTCAAGGAAAGCAGCATGCATCATCACTTCTCAAATGTCATATTCTGGATTGAGGGATGCAAATTTTCAGCAACCTATCTCCTGGGTGTGGGCCCAAGCCTGAATACGATTCAAAACCTTTACCCCAAGTTCAACCCCCAACAAATGGCATTTCTGAACATTTTCCCGTTCCTTCTTTTATGTTTCCTCCTATTTTATTTATTTATTAAGAACATTTATATGGCTGCCCGATGCATGGTGACCACAGATGACTTACAGCAGGGGTGTCAAACTCAATTTCATTGAGGGCCGCATCAGCATTGCGGTTGCCCTCGGGGTGTGTGTGTGGCCAGGGTGGGTGCGGCCTACTGGGTGGGCATGGATGGAGTGGGTGTGGCCTACTGGGTGGGCATGGCCAGCTCTACATCGTTCGCGTCAAAGGTGCCTCTGGGGGCCTGGGCAGGACAGATCTGAGGGTCTCTGGCAGAAGGGGGTGGGACCGGGGCAAACGCCAAGGCATGGTCCATTTCTTCACTCCTCACAAAGGGTGACACCTCCCCAGCATGCACTCGGGGCGGGGCCGACACGGCAGGGGCTGGTTCCTCGCTGTTTCTAGACGGCCTTGTGGAGCTAAGACTGAATGCGTTTCAGCATAGATGGCCACCACAAAATTGTACATTGGCTCCCGGCCAGCCTGGGCCAGGGCCAAGGCAGCGGGGGCTGTTCCCTCACTGTTTCCAGGATGGCTTCGCGGGCCACATGAAGCCACTTCGCGGGCCGCATCCGGCCCCCGGGCCTTGTGTTTGACATGTCTGATTTACAGAAATAAAGCCCCAGGCAGATCAAGACCACTTCACGAGTTCACCAGGGAGGCCAAGCTTAAGGACCACCTGAGTAAAATATTTAGGAGCAACAGTTCTTAACGATCTCTGCCTACTCACCTAACAAGCCTATTTAGATTAGCTGAGAAATGAAACCACTCTTGAGACATATATATGGGGTCCCCCTAACCAATTTTCTCTGACTGAAGAAGCTGCTAGGATAAGCAGCGAAACATTTCAAACAAAAAAGAAAGGAAGTTGCCAGATTCTTTGAATGAAACAGAGATCATTAAGAAGCTGCTTCATCTGAGTTAGCATGCCTCTTGCCATCCTGGCTAGGGAATTCTGGGAGTTGAAGTCCACACATCGTCAAGTGGCCCAGGCTGAGAAACACTGCACTAAGCATTTCAATACTTCTGTCTACTCATAGATCTTTTTTTTTTTAAAGCTGGAGCTGGGATTACATTTCCATATGTACTGTATAAGAGGGGCCGATTTTATTTTTAACGTGGTGCCAGATTTGTAGAATTAATGCAGGGTTCCTAAAAATGTATTTAGCTCTACCTTTTCAGGGTTTTTTTTTTAAAGGACAATTCTCATATTTCAATGTAAATCTGCCTTTTACTAATTGCTGCACTCTTGGATTCACTAAAACTCTTAACTTTACTGAGTATGTTGCCTACATACACATTTCTCCACCTCTACAACTGTACATTTTTTAGGCAATGCCTTCATTTTTATTGCATTATCGCTACAGTGGCCACTGCCACATCCTCTCCCACCTGGCAGTAGCCACCCTTGGTCCCGCCACACTTGTGCTGCAATAGCTCCTTACACACTTACTGGCCTGCTTAAGAACTGCCTGGGACTTGTGACTTTCTGCTGGCTTCCCCATTGACTTTGCTGTCAGGAAGTTGCCAGGAGGTCCTTACTTAATGACTCATGATCCTCGCTCAATGACAACAATGGGAATTGCCAGGATTGCCATTGCTAAGCAATGTGGTCACGCGACCTCGCACTTTTCGATCGCATTGCTTAGTGGCAGAAATTCTGGCTCCAATTACCATTGTTAAGTGAGGATTCCCTGTATTGTTACTATTATTTAATACAGCCACCCATTTATCCCCAATATCTGCGCTGCTGATTTCCTCAACGCAGCTATCAAGCCATGGCTATTATCTTATAAAAACTGGAAAAGTGAAGTTATATTACTTACTAGACTTGCTAAATCCAGAAATGCATTCTTCCAAAAACTCTAGGGTAAGGTGGGGCTCGTTAGCTGCCAGAGTTTTACTAATGGAGACAATGAAAAGAGTGTTGTTTGCAGGGATACAAAGACCTGATGTTTCCAGTAATTGGCCTTCAATCTTTAAATTAAAAGTACAAGTTAAGGCACAGAGAAGATTATAGGCCGCAGACCTGCAACAAAAAATGAGGAATGCATTAAAAAACGTTTCCTTGGTGAGGTCCAGAAAGTCTATGCTCAGAAACCTATTTCATTCTTTCATTCTTTTATCCATCCATCCATCCATCCATCCATCCAATCATTCATCCATCTATCCATTCATTCATTCATTCAATCAATTCATTCAATTTCTATGGCTGTCCAACTCAACCAAGCGATTTCTTAACATTGATATCAGCATATTTGGCTTCTGACCCCCAAATCAACTCAAGAACCTTATTTGGTCAGCCATTGGAGGTTCCCTCCATTAGTTGATGATGACATCTACATAAAACTAACACTTGAGAGATTGCAGGTGGTCCTCAACTAACATCTGTTCATTTGGTGGCCATTCGAAGTTACAACAGCACTAAAAAAGTGACTTATGACCGTTTTCACACTTATGACCGTTGCAGCATCCCCATGGTCACGTGATTGAAATTCAGATGCTTGGCAGCTGGTTCATATTTATGACAATTAGGATATCCCAGGGCCACGTGGTCACCTTTTGTGACCTTCTGACAAGCAAAGTCAATGGGGAAGCCAGATTCACTTATAGACCACGTGATTCAGTTAACAAGCGTATAGGTCAGTGATGGCGAACCTTTTAGAGACCGAGTGCCCAATTATCACAAAGTGCCAGGGCCACATCAGCGTGGTGCCCTCAGGGGGTGTGTGGGGGCGTGGCTCACTGGGTGGGTGTGGCCCACTGGGGCTGCGATTGTCACGGCAGGCTGGGTGAGCATGGCTGGGGTGGGCAGGGCCACCTCTATTTTGCTCATGGGGGGGATGCCTGTGGGGGCTGGGCAGGGTTGAGGGAGATCCAGGAGGTCTCTGACAGGTGGGGCGGTGGGCAGGAGGCCCAGCATAGATGGGGGGAGGCACGCAATCCTAGCTGGGACTGGGGGGCCATGGCGCCGATGGGGATCCAGCTTTCCCTGCTCGGGGTGGCCTTTGGCTTGCTGGATATGGGCATGCTCTATCACCTCTACTTGAGCTTGGTAGCTGGCCGCTTCGCCTCCTTTGTGCTGGGTAGGGCTGCTGCTCTAGGTGGCGGCCTAATGGACCTGCACAAGCCGCTGGCAGCAGCGGTGCAGGTGCCCATAGAGAGTGCCACCTCTGGCACACGTGCCATAGGTTCGCCACCACTGGAATAGGTAATCCTCAACTTATGAACACAATTGAGCCCAAAATTTCTGTTGTTTAAGACTGAGACATTTGTTAAGTGAGTTTTGCCCCATTTTATGACCTTTCTTGCCACAGTTGTTAAGTGAATCACTGCAGCTGATAAGTTAGCAACCCGATTCTTAAGTGAATCTGGCTTCCCCACTGACTTCGCTCGTCAAAAGGTTGCAAAAGGGGATCACATGATCTCGGGACACAGCAACGGTCATAAGTATGAACCAGTTGTCAAGCATCTGAATTTCAATCACATGATCATGGGGCTGTAACAGAAAAAATGACCATAAGTCACTTTTCTCAGTGCCGTTGTAACTTTGAAAGGTCACTAAATGAGCTGTTGTAAGTCAAGGACTACCTGTAGTGGTTTAATAACCATGGTGAATAAAGGTCGTAAAATGGGGCAAAATTCACTGAACAAATGTCTCACTTAGTAACATAAATTTTGGGCTCAATTGTGGTCATAAGTCAAGGACTACCTGTACATTCTGCCAACTCAGAGAGGCTTTAGAAAAAAAGAAGTTCTCAACAAGGATAATTTTAGCTTAAGTGGGTGACATAACACAACTTGTGGGTGTATTTGGAGTCCCTTACCCTTGGCCAGCTGGGACTGATGGGAGTTGTAGTCTCCAGCCCGAAGGGAGCAAAGTTGACTTATCTCTGATTTTAGATTTCTGAATTGCAAAATGCTGGGGAGAAGAGAAGCAGTCTCTTATTGATGATTCATATCTTTTCCGTTTCATGACCAACCAAAACCCATCAGTAGGTTCACGTCTTCTACCAAGCTGAAACCTCTCATTGTCATTAATGCTTTGGTTACCTCCCTGTTGATTACTCCATTGTCACAAGTCACTTTTCTCAGTGCCGTTGTAACTTTGAAAGGTCACTAAATGAGCTGTTGTAAGTCAAGGACTACCTGTAGTGGTTTAATAACCATGGTGAATAAAGGTCGTAAAATGGGACACGGCTCACTTAACAACTGCCTTGCTCAGCAAAGGAAATTTTGGGCCGAATTGTGGTCATACGTCGAGGACTATCTGTAAGTTGGGACTCATTCGAAATGAGGCCTCAAAAATCCCTCCACAAACGACCGCGACACATACCGTAGACTTGGGTCTGAGCTCCCTAGATTAAGCAGCGCGATGTTCAGCAGGGTTCCGGGCACATCCTTGGGACGGATTTTCGTATGTTGCGGTATAGAGTCGGGCTGGGATAACTCCCATCGTGTCCGTATATGAATGATAGACTGTACAATAGCTTCGCACTCCTGGTGCATGAAAGTCAGAGGGGTGCCCTGGTTGGCAATGGTTAAGGTGAACTGGTTTTCATCCACAAGGCAGATTTCTTCTATTTCAGAAGCGTAGTAAATGTCGTTCAGGAACACGGTCTGGCCCAGGACTCTTGTGCGCTCAGCTGACGTCACCTGGACAGCCGTGGAGCCAACCTGTGGAAGGCATTGAGTTTGGGTGGGAGAAAAGAAAAATAAGCACGAGCTAAGGCAGGGGTGTCCAACTTGGCGACTTTAAGACTTGTGGACTTCAACTCCCAGAATTCCCCAGCCAGCCATGCTGGCTGGGGAATTCTGAGAATTGAAGTCCACATGTCTTAAAGTGGCCATGGTTGGATACCCCTAAGTTATAGTGTTCCCTTACAGAGATAAAAGGAGATTTTTCACCCTGTGGTAGGCCGTAATATTCTTTTGAAATGTTTTGAAAATGCAGGATGGCAACCAATAAAATAGGAAGGGACATATTTTATTGTTTCAAGATTCATAATCCTCCGGAATCCAAATCAGTCCTTCTTAAGGGTCAAACTTTTTTCAAGTGGAAAATACTACTATTTCATCTGTCTTACCACATGTAGCTAGTAAGTTAAAGCTATAGCCACTGAAAATCATGCCAAACTCGGGCAAAAAGCTCTGGATATAATATTAGGTTTCCACTGTCCAAATCTAGGATGCAGACCTCATCTCTGTTTCCTGGCGGAGGGAGCCAGTGTTGTACGAAGACATTTTCTGTGGTTATATGGCCAGCATGGCTATACACCAAAGGTGCAGGGAACGCCGTTAACTTCCCACCAAACTGGTACCTATTTATCTACTCGCATTCGCATGCTTTTGAACTGCTAGGTGGGCAGGACCTGGGACAGGAATGGAAATTTACCCCATTGTGCAGTGCTCAGGTTTCGAACCCGGGCTTTCCAGCTGACAAGTTCAATGTCTTTAAGCGCTGAGCCATCACACC